GTTAAATAAAGATAAGCCCTGTGAATGGAGGCTTTCTGAGAACTTCTAGAAAGTTCAGAAAATGACAATCTTGAGTAGTAGAGGTTTGGGGATACAAAGTTATTCTACTTTCTCTGGTCGCTTCTGGGCTGCTGATTTTCCTAGCTACTCTGATTGTGAGGCTGTTGGTTTTCAAAGCTCCTGCAGAGCTGGGTAAAGGGGCATAGACATAGGGCTCACTATTTTTACATGCATTCAGCCATTTAAAAAAAAAAAACAGACAACATTGTATTAATTTCCTGTATTCTTAAAAGGTTGTTTTTGAAAATATTTTTCAGTATTATTATTGCTTTTATGAAGGAACAGAGTTCTAGAGGTCTTTCTTCACCATTCTCATTAGCATTACTCACATTACTTTTTATTCAGTTTTATTAAAGTATAATTTACATTTGAAAAAATTACCAATTTAAGGTATCCAATTTAAAGAGTTTTGTCAAATGTGATTAGTTATATAACTATCACCACACGCATAATACAGAAAATTTTTGTTAACTCAGTACCCCATTGCTGGCATCTGGCAAACATGACTGCTTATTGCCACCACAATTATGCCTTTTATGTGTTTTTAAATAAATATAACCACATGCATACAATCACTGTATCTGGCTTTTTTTTTTTTTCACTTAGCAAAATGCCCCGAGAGTCATCCATGTTTTGATATATCAGTAATTAGTGACTTGAATTGTTAAGTATTCTATTGTATGGATATACTACAATTTTATATCCATTTACTAGTAGATGTGAATTTGGGTTACTTGTATTTTTTTATTATTTTATGAATAAGACTCCTATGAACATTCAAGTACCATTCTTTTTATGGACATATAATTCCTTTTATATTGAACACACAACTAAGAGTAGATTTGGTGGGTCAAATGCTTAAATATATTTAATTTTATAAGAAATTGCCAAATGACTTTTCAAAGAAGTTGCGTCCTTTTGGGAGTTTCAGAAATTCTGGATCCTTGCTAACAGTGTTATCAATGTTTGTAATTTGAACATTTTAGTGTGCATGTAGTGGTGTCTCATTTTGATTTTAATTCCTTTCTCCCATGACTAATGATGTTAAATGTCTTTTCTTGTGCTTATTAGGCATTTATATATCTTCTCTTAGAAATGCCTATTCACAAATTTAGCTCATTTTTAAGATAAAATTATTCAACTTTTATGGAGATTAAAAGTTTTTAAAAATATTTCTAGTTATGAGTCCAATATCAGATTCTCTATAACTTTTGTGAACATTTTCTTCAAGTCTAGAATCAATTCTTAAGGTGCAGAGAGATTTTTGAGTTTATGATTAAAGGATCCAAGTCTATAAAGATGAATATAGTTAAAGTCTCCAACTTTAAAAGTAATAAATACATTTTCTCCATGTATCAGAAAATATACAGTGTATTTGATTACATGGCATATTAAGAATAAGCCCTTTGATATCTTTTGTGTATGTAGTAGATAAACTTTTTCACAAATAGAGAGGTTTGTTTGTACTACCCAACTATAATGGAAGAACAGGTGGTTAGATAAGTAAATTTTATAAATGATGGGCAATCCTTAAAACCTGTCACAGCTACCAAATGAGTAACATTATTATTTTTTTTAATTTCACATACCACTGTTAGGTAAAGATGTTAATACATGTGGAATTGACCAAGAAGATAATCTGTTAGCCACAAAAGCCAAGAATCCACTGAAGACAGTCTTAGACCAGATGATCAGCTTCCCATCAAGAATTGCCTATTTTATTTGACACTATTAGGAATTCGTAGACAGTGGGTAAATTGCAGGTGACTAAATCATCATACATTTTTAAATCAATGAGTGATGTGATAAGAAGTTGAGAAATAGAACTGGTTTCAGTGTGAAGCACTTGGAATAATAGTGAAGCCAATTAAGAGGCTGTTGCCTAACTCTAGGTAAAAGATAAGAAGGAACTTAACTAGGAACAAAGGAGAGGAAGGTCTTCTTCAAAGACATTATAGAAGTAGAATTTACAGGACCTCTTGATCAATGGATATAGTTCTTGAAGAAGAATCTCAATATGACTCCATTTTGTAGTGTGGGTAACCTATTGGTGATGCACTCATTCAGACAGCAAGTAGGAGATAAGTTTTGTAGAGAATGCAATGAGTTATTTGAATTTGAAGAACCCGTAAGACCCCACAGATTGGTGAGAGTGGGATGTAGTTGTAAATGTAGCTATGGGCTCAGGTGAGATGGATCAGTGACAGTAGAGGTTGTACCATCAGAATCTAGTTATTTTGAGATGAGACACTCTAGTATGCCCATCCAGAGTAATAGAGCAAATACTTCTGTTTGAATTCTAAATAAATAAATTATATGGCCAAAATTCACTGAACTGAAATCATACGACCTATGCACACAAAAATGGTCAATGATCAAAGATGAGAGGTTGAACACTAGATTTTACTTACTTCTAAGTCCTGAATAATTTTCAGAGAGATATTTCCTCACAAGAAGATCACAACTATAAAATTTTCCATGCAGAAAAAATAGAAATATGTCATAGAGGACTTAGAAAGCCCAAGGAACAAAATTTAAGTAGACAAAGGAGAAAGTTGTTATATAACTCACTTTTCACTGAAGAAACCCTAATACTATAAAATACTATAAAATTGTTGGTGAGCATGGAGGTAGGCTAAAAACAGGAGGGTTGTTTGGAATTGTATTTTAAAGTAGGTAGAGACCTAAAAATTCTTCCCCAGTCTATATCCAGGTGATTTCTCTCCTTACTACCAATACAATACTAGAAGTTGATTCCCCAAAGAGACTAAAACAGAAGCTTCCTTGATTAGGAGTATCAGACATGGTTGAAGATGGGTGTTCTACTAAAAACAGAAGTCCATGTCACAGTCTGCATACTTTCTAAATGTCAGCATTCCCAAGACTCTTCTATTAATTACTCAGCTCCAGAACAGTGGAAAACACTCTCAAGAGGAATCTCATTTCTGAGAAATGTGATCAGCTCAGAATAAAAGACAAAACAAGGGCAGCAAATCCCGATTAGAACAGGTCAAAAGGCTCAGAGAAACAAGTCTCCAAGGAAACTAAATTGTTAGACAATCCAATATGATAGAAAACACATAAAGACTGAGGTAATTGGGAGAGTGTTTGGGTTTGGATTTAGGGATAAGCACATAGAAAATTAAGGAAATAAACTAGATACTTATTAACTTCAGAGATAACCAAAAGTTGAAACTGAAAGGAAAAAAATAATCAAAGTATGATATACATGTGAATAGCATTTCCATGGTCATGGTAAATACTGAATATTGATTTATCCATAAATTATGACATGGCTATATTTGGAAGAGACAAAAGGTGAGCGTGTTCCAAAAAACAAATTCAGTAGATAATTACTTACACTGCAAGATTAAAAAGTTTAAAAGAGTTGTTTCCAAAGAGTGAGAAGTAGGAAAGGATATGAGGGGCAGTGTTTAACTCTTCAAAGCTTATGCATTCATTAATTGTGATATTTTTATTAAAATATTGAAACAAAAATAATAAGGGATTTGTGAAGGGAATTTCATGACAATCAGATTGGATGAAAATTGAGGATGTCTTCCAAATAGTGAAAAGGAAACATTTCACATGAAAATGTTGGAGTAGTGAGTATAGACCCTTAATGGAGAGGTAGAATTGAAAGAAGATTGGTAGTTTGCTTGATTATAGTTCTTTAGGTAGCTAACTAATTGGTTAGTCAATTTATTGAAGACAGAGAAGAAAGAAGTTGAGAGAGAGTTTGCTGAATGGAAGGGAACAAATGAAATCTCAAAGTCCCAGATGAAGTGGTGGATATTGAAATAAAGAACAAGGTTAAAAAGGTTAGCTTTGAAGAATAGGGTCATCTTTTCTTGCAGAGCACAGAAGCAGAGTGGCAGTATTAAGGGCATATAAATATAATTGATGATGAAGAAAAGGATTCTGAAAAGAATTTATACCTAACAGTTTATATTTTCTCATTGGCAGCTGTGGCTAAGGCTTCAGTTGAGGAACAGGGTCTTTTTGATTGCCAGAGATTAGGAACCAAACAGAGGAGAAAATGAAAGGAAAGCTGCTGAGTAGCAATTTTGGGAGCCCAGCTGAGGGTGAAAAGCAAAATATATGTATTAGTCAGCATGGACTACCATGAAAGAATACCACAGACTGGGTGGCCTCAACAATAAGAATTTATTTTCTCACAGTTCACAGTTCTGGAGGCTGAAAAGTCCAAGGTAAACATCCTGGCAGGATTTGGTTCTTGGTAAGGACCCTCTTCCTGACCTCCCGACAGCCACCTTCTCTGGTGTTCTCACATGGGGGGAATTGAGGAAGGAAGAAAGAGCAAGAACACATAAGCTCTCTGGAGTCTCTTCTTATAGGGACACTAATCCTGTTGGATCAGGACTCCTCCCTTGTGACCTTATTTACCTTCAAGTACCTTTTTATTGTAAATATAGTCACACTGGGGGCTGGAGCTTCAACACATGAGTTTTGAGGGGAATATAGTTAAGGGCATAGCATGTATAATTCAGCAATATAGTGTAAGTTACTTTCCCATGTGTACCCAACTGCCTGAGACCAAGAGAAAAGACAGATGGTTAAACAGACCCTATTTGGGGATTAGTAGGATAGAGTTGATGGAAGGTCAAGGTGGCAAATGATTGAGGGACTGGTGAAAGTATAGCTAAAATGATTGGCATGGATTGCAAGAAGGGTGGAAAGGGAAGCCGGAAAGGACTGGGTTTAGATTAGAGAAAGTATAATATGGGTGGGCCTAGTGACGGAGTTCTCTTAGGTCAAAAGGCACAAATGAAAACTACATGTTTTCTGCTGTCTTGGAGCATAATAGGTTGTTTCTGCTCTTTCAACTTTACTGAAAAGTAAAGGAGGATTATCAAACTGGAAAGACAATTTAGATTCATTAGAGGTAGTAATCATCTTTTTTTTTTCCTTGTTTCTAGACGACTAAATACATTGAACAAGTGTGCCTCAATGAAACTTGATGTGAACTTCCAAAGGAAAAAGGTAGGTGTCTATAACTAGCTAAGACAATGACCACATCAACAGAAACAGTTTGTATTCATAGATTAAAAACAACATGAACCAAACAAAATTTTGAAATGCCCTACCATCTGTGTTGCTTCTCCAAATATCCCAACTTATCACAGTGGTCCTAAATAAATCCATTGTAAACCCACTCTAAGAGCTGTTTGTCTCACTGTTTCAGTTTGCTTTAGTATTTTTATCAGAGGATTTTAATAAAGATGTAAGTATCTCAGTTCTTGGTAATCTTTTCGAAATTTGTGTATTTGTAAATGCCAACCTATATTAGACTCAAATACTCCACAAAAACTAGTAGATTAAAAGAGTTTTCAGAAAAGGATCAATGGGTCCAAGCTAAGTTATCTTCTGGTTTGTTCTGTATGTCAAATATGCATACATTCTCATGCAGGTTCATTTGATGATGTAACTTTTAAAAGAACTAGTCGACAGTATAACCACAAAATACTGAGTCTGCCTCGTTTTAACTATTCTCTCCCTTGCACTTTTATCCAGTCACAAATATTTGGTGCATTTTTAAAAGTTACTGTATTTTCTGCTCCTTTGCATGTGTTATTCCCTCTGAGTGAACAAGTCTGGAGATTTCAGTCTTAAAGCTATACAGGCTGAGCATACCTAACCTGAAAATCCAAAATCTGTCATACCCAAATCCAAGACTTTTTGAACACCTACATGATGATCAAAAAATTTTGGATTTTGGCGCATTATGGATTTTGGGTTTTCTGATTATAGATGTTCAACCAATAAAACCTATACAAATATTCCTAAGTCAAAAAGACTCCAAAATCTCAAATGCATCCTTTTCCGGGAATTTTAGGTAAGAGATATTCAAACTGTACTTTGTCAAGCACTTTCTATTTTCCAGAAACTAGGTTATGTGCTTACCATACGTTATCATTTAATTCATTTTTGTAAGACTTCTCTGCTTTCTAGATAAAAAAAAAAAAAAAGTAAACCTCGAACAGGCTGTCATTTGCCTATAACCTTACAGCTAGTGGTATAACAGGGTTTCAGCCTCAGGAACATCTAACTTCATAACCAAAGCTCCTAACCACTGAGATGTTCTATCTCTTTGTTACTGAATTGATCCTTTTTAAGGAAATCCAGGATTAGCATCATTCACTACTTCTTTTCCTTTAGCATCTCAATTGTGTAACTAACTAATCAAGCCTCAGTATATTTTGAAGAAATGGAGAAAACATCTTTCAGTCAAAAGAAAGTATTCTTTATTTTGGTTTACCCAGAGAAATCATTACATCCAGTGGATTTTAAGAACCTCCTGGGTAACCTAATCTTTAAAAATAACGTTAACCTGAATTTGTGCTCTAAAATAGCACCCCTTCAAAAAAACTCAAATGAATTTGGATTGACCTCACCTTAAAAACAATTCAGGATTTGAGCTAGGAATCAACGATTTAAGCTAGGGAAGCAAAGGAGTGAAAAACAATATCCAGAAAAGTATTAAAACATGAGGAATTTTTCCAGGCCAAAGACAAATTTAAAATGTGGGAATATACCTCCCGACAGCTGTCTGGCTGAATAGACCCCTTGAGAAGCATACATACTATTTGAAGCATGAGGGTCAGATGTTGTTTTGATTGTAACACATGGTTCTTATTAAACTGAACACAGCCATGCCTGTGTGTCTGAAGCGTGGGTGCTCAGATGGCGGGTATAGACGACTGCCTCTACAGACCTTTAGCTGCAGTGTATCACAAAAGAAAATGCCTCAAACTAATGACATGATTTGTTTCCCACAAAGTGGAGTGACTGGATTTTTACCCTGTCATCAGCTTTTCAAAACCCACAGGCACAATAGTCTTGAATAACTTTTGTTAGGCTCCTCATGCATTATGTTCACAAAAGCTCCTCTGTAAATTGGTCACTTCAGTATTCTGACATTCTTGGTGTATTTCTTATGTTGGCTATAGTGGCACACACTGTACAGTCCCTGCTAAGCAATAGGTCTCACAAAAGCATGCACTTAAATAAAATACTGCTTTTTCCACTGTAAATTGGAGCGCCATGGCCTGAATTTTCAAATAAAAAAATTCAAGATGTGGTCTCTACCCACTTGTGACTCTCGGTAATGACCAGCATTATTGAGAATCCAAACTCTGATGCAGAAGGTGTTGTGTGTAGCACTCATTTCTGTGATCTACTCTTACATAAGTCATAGGGTAATTCTTGATTTTACTATAAAAAAAATAAGAACAGGGTTAACACTAGTCCAAGTGATCAAAAATAGAAAGTGAGACTTAGGAACTGAACACCCTGTGAAACTCCAGCCAACTTTGGAATTCATTTATTTAGAAGAAAATTAAGACAGTAGAATTTCCTCTAGGTCTGTTCCTGTTTTAAGCAATCCAAGAAATAGAAGCAGAATCTTTATCTCCAATCTTCAGAGATTCTGACTTGTTGTTTTGCAGAATCTAGTTCCCAAATGGCTCAAGTGACCAGTATCACAGTCCTTCTCCCTTTGAGGTTGTTAAATCTATGGCAGAGTGACATGGGCTTGCCTGGCAGTTTGGGTGGTTAACAAATGCTAGCACAGAGCCTCTTCTCTGCCAGACCCTATTCTCCATCACTAAGTCCATGTCACAGGTGCAGAAATCAAAGGGCCCAGTTACTTGCCCAAAGACACACAGAAATGGTAGAGGCAGGATTTGAACACCAGTGTTCTGGTACCAGAATGCTTCTCTTCACCTTTCAAAGATATTCAGAAATGTATTGGAACCTGAGTGAGCTTCTGGCCCTTGTCCGAGAGCTGGAAGGGTCTCATGTTTCCTCAGCAATACATTCAGTTAACTATTTGTACTGTTTTGTTTTTTTTTAAAGATGTGTCTTTCCGTCTGTATTAAATCTACCATTGATTGTCTTCATGGCAATCTTGTTGAATTCCATAGATTGGATGGACTGATCAAAGGAAGAAAATGAAAAGTCCACAGATAAGTGATATAGTGAAGATACTTGGTTAGGTATATGTCAGATGTCACTTGTAAAGCACCAGGAGAATGACATTGCACCTGCCCTCCCACAAGATAGTGTCTAACCACTTTTGTAGAAGAGAAAATTGATTAAGGATTCAACATTGCTGTCCCTGCCTCTGAGAGTCAGGTGGAGACCAGTGTTCTCATCTGATCTTGGCCTCACTGAAAGGTTGACTAAAACTCAGCCAAGAGGCATTTCAGGAGAGCCTGGGCACACCTGCAGTGGGCTGCCTGTGACTTCAGGTTTTTCAGCCCTGCCTCATTCCAAGTGGCACATTCCTGCCCTGAACAGGCTGACTCAGCCACTCAGCCCCAGTTAACTTTAATGGAAGACACGCTTCTAAATGTCTATGTAACTGTGGATTAGCTGCCTCTTGCAGCTGCAGATCCTTGTGGCTCCTCTTTCCCATGTAAAGATATGACCAAATTCCAGGGTTGTTTTTTTTTAATCCCCTCTTTATGGAGTGTCTGTTTGGCATCTGTCTCCAAGGAATATATAATTTCAGTGAATAATGATCTCACTTTTAGAAAAAGCCAAACGTCGGAGACTCATCTAAATTAAAAACCCTAAGGCACACACCAAGCTGCCAATCCTCAGAAAAATGTTTCTTCCTCATTATTACCTACAAAATTCACACTGGCTTCATGAAGACACTGAGCTCCCTGATTCTGGCTAGTGTTTATGTGATGTGACTTCTATTCAAAGGAAAAATGGATTCTGGAGACTCCCGTCAGGCTCTTAATGAAAAAAGGAGACACATGCCCACAACAGACTGGTCTTTCCTCATAACAAAGACGGCCCAGGAATGAAAGAGCAGCTTCAAAACAAGGTTCTGGTTTAAATTCCAGTTTTAATAAGACTCTCTGAAATCGTGACCAACGGTGGAAAACAACATAAAAACCATGACTAATTGCCACCTTGCAGCCAGCACCCCTGCCTGGATGCCATGGGCATTGCAGAGGAGCCACAGCTGTGGCTGAGGGCCCAGTCTTCACCCCACCTCCTCACAGCCTTTCCCAGCCCCGTATCCTCCACAAATAGCACTCCTCTGGCAGCTCTGAACAGCAGAGTCAAACGAGAGAAAAACAACATTGTCTTCTATCATTCACTTGACTGGAGAACATGAACAGTTTTGAATTGCGTGTGAATGTCTTAGAACCTTAGAATCTTGGAGCTGGAAAGGATCCTCGGTCATGTTTTCCAACCTCCCACCCCCTCACTACAGGATTTCTTTCTCAGAGCGTCCCTCACAATTCATTCAGCCCCCGCTTGTAAGCTTCTCAACAGGATGAGCTTTTTCCATCACAAGGCACCTTATTTTTTTTTTCTAATTACTAGCAGTCTTCCACGTAATAAGCTAAAAGCTGATAAGAAATAAATTAGCCCATCTGATGCTAGCTCTTTTCTCTGGAGACTATGGATTTTCCTTTTTGCATATACCAGCCCTTCAGCTCTGTCCTCTAGAGCAGAGATTGACAAACTACTATTTTGCTTTTGTAAATAAAGTTTTATTGGAACACAGTTATAACCATTATTTTTGAGACAACAGAGTTCAGTATTTGCAACAGAGACCATAAAGCCTGTAGACCTAAACTACTTACTATCTGGCCCTTCACAGAAAAAGTTTTCTGACCCCTGCTCAATCCAGAACAAATTTTCCCAAACTATTTGTAGTAAATTACCTGGGGTTTTGTTTTATTTTTATTTCTTGTCTGCCACAATACTTTTATAAAATTTAATGCACATGAGTTAGAAATATGAAATGTTTAATTGTGGAAAATACCAATATTTTAGTAAATGCTTTAGCAATACTAAATGTTTTAGTATTAGACACAAAATTACACCCCAATGAATATGAGCAGAACAAATAGAAGAAACAGAAAATAGAAAAAAATGACAAAAACTGCTCATATTTTTATTGAACATGTGCATCATATGAAGAATTGTGATCCTACTCATAATTTTGTTATTCATCTATCTTAAGTAAATAAAAATTTTACATTGAGATGGCAACAAATTCCTCATATTAAATACCTGTCTACACATTTCGAACCATCACTGTAATCATGAATATATAAGAATTTTAATGTGACAGTGAGTTTTTGTTTGTTATATAATTTTGGTAGAATGGACAACCACCCTAATCACAGGAATAATGTACATCTAAAATGTTTCTTTTTTGTTTTGTTTTAATACCAGTCAGAAACTCGCCTACAGAGTACACTGACTAGAATGGAATTGAGATTTTAAAGCAGTTTGAAAACTGAGAGTTTTCCTTCAAACACCTGTTATTCTAATGAAACAGGTCATTCCATACTTTCAAAGTCCATCTAACACCCTCCTCATTAGCCATGTCTTGTAATTATAAAGTTGTAAATTTAGATTATCTTTATGTGGAACAATCGAGCCTATACATGAAGCACTGTGGGTTGTAGTAGATAAACCAATCTTTCCTGTGTGAAAAGACTGATCCACCAATCTTGATCTTGGATAGCAAAGCCCTTGTCAAATGGGGACAGTCAATTAATGCCTACTCTCAATTTCTGTGCCTATCTCACATGACTGGGAAGTTTTGGGCCCCAGGCAACCCCCACCACACTTTGAGTTGCACTGTCTAGAGTTCCTTGTTTCTAAACCAAACACTGTTTGTTCTTTAGATATCCTTCACAGAACATAGTGGTTCCTAGATCCTTGCTCATCCTGATTGTTCTTCTCTAGAAATGTACTCCCTAAATATAATATTTAGAAAAAGTCCATTGTTCCTGACTGATGTGACCAATGAGAATACAGTGGGCTTACCTGGCACAGTGGCGTATAACTATAATCCCAGTGACTCAGGAGACTGAGGCAGGAGGATGGCAAACTCAAGGCCAGCCTTGGCAAGTTAGCAAGACCCTATCTCAAAATAAAAATAAAAAGAGACTGGAGATACAGCTCATTGGTAAAGCCCCTGGGTTCAATTCCCTATATGGCAGAAGAAAAAAAGACACACTGGACTCTAACCTCCTGAGACTCTGGATCCTTGCTCTGGTCACACATCCTAAGGTTGGTGTCTTCGGTAGCCATATTCCATGGTTAACCCACATTAAGATTAAATCTGCTCAAGCGCTCAAGGTTATTAATTGAAAGAGGAGTTGAATTAAGTATGTTTCATCCTATAAGATATCTTATAATTTATTTTTGAAGTTGGAGTATTTTTATATTTATTCATGCAGTTTCAACTTATCAACAAACCATTCTTCAATTCTGTTAAGATATTTATAGATCTCAATACAGGATAAATATCCCTTCCAAAATGCTGGGGATCAGAAGTGTATTGGGGATATTTTTAGAGTTTGAAATACTTGCATATATTAAATGAGATACTTTGGGGATGGGGCCTATACACCTTATAGGTAATTTACGGAATATATTTAGTAATTTTGTACACAGATGGAAGAGAATTTTATGGTACAGAATTTTCTACTTGTGGTATCTAAAGTTTCAGACTTTAGAGCATTTTGGATTTTGTCATCTTTACATTTTAAAAGCATGAGTTCTTCTGACTCATGAATTTATTCTTAAAATGCCCATAACCTTGAGTTATACCTCCTGAGATCCCTTCCTCAATTGCTTTCAGTCTTTTGAGCACACTCTTTCGTGAAGTTATTCAACCACTTACTAACAACACTCTAGCCGCTTCAAGCATAGTTAGCTGTCTCAGTCACGACAATATTATTGTCAATTATCTTAATGAAATTCATATTTTCTGTATCCGTAGTATGTTTATGATCTTGTATACCACATAGTTAGAGTCTTCATAAACACATCCAACTCCCAGAAATCTGCACTTAGCATTTCTAAATAATCACAACAATTTGTTTGTAACCTAAAAAACAAATCAGATGAAACCTGATAATTTCTTAAAAACTAAGATACTTCCAGAAATACTATTTGGGAGGCTACCATGCACCTGAACACTCTTCTGGGTCCCAAGTGTATAAAAGAAGCTGACAATGTACCAAGAAGCCATGCAAAACACACTGCAGATGAATTTAATGGGTCACACACACACACACACACACACAAAAAACCAATGTTTTAAAAAATGAAACAAACTAGACTATAGGTTGAGTATCTCTTATCCAAAATGTTTGGGACCAGAAGGGATACAGATTTTAATTTGGGGGCTTTATGAAATATATGCACATATATAATGAAATACTTGAGGGACGGAATCCAGTTCTAAAGATGAAATTTATCTAGGCTTCATATATACCTTAGCCTGTAGGCAATTTTATTCAATATTTTTAGTGTGCCTATGGTTTGACTGCACCTTATCACATGAGGTCAGGTGTGGAATTTTCCACTTGTGACATCATATAGACACAAAACATTTCAAATTTTATAATTTTAGATTAAGGATGTCCAACCTGGATAAAATATGAGAGTACAAACAAAAAGGGATAATTATTATAGCATTTTTTTTGCTTTAATGTAATATACATATATACCCTGAGTTGTGGTGGAAAATGAATCTCTTATTGTATGTCACAGTCAACAATTTAAAAGATATTGTACTAATGGAAAAAACAGACTCAGAATTTTATGCCATTGGGGATATACTATGATAATTTTATGCTTCTCCTTTAGCAAAAGGAGAAGGGGTGCTTTTTTTCTTTTTTATTTGTTTTGTTTTTATTTTTTATTGCTTTGGTTCAAAAAAACTTAAATACTGCAGAATTTCCCTGAACTCTTTGCCTCTTTTTTCAGGGATTTACCACTTTCCACATGCCTCGGTTGGGTTGTAAATGTCTTCCTCTTGGCCAAATCTAGTGGAATAAGCTCCTAAAGCCCAGCAGACATGGGTGCATTCTAGCCCCTGTCCACAGAGCCCAGCTTGGCATCTCTCCTTAACCTAAATAAAGGAGTCTTTATCCAACTAGTATGTGGTTTGCTCGCATCAGTAACCAGGCTTGAGAGAGTCCTTGGAACCAAAATTAAATATTATAGTTTCTATTTTTAAATATCTATATTTCTCTAAAAGTGGATCCTTCTTTTGCCTTTTCTAAAACTCTTTGTTGAAGGGATATTTTCAGAATATTTACTCAATATCAACTTCTTCTTACAAGCTTCTTGAAATGTGATCTGAAAATCTAACAGCTCAGCCTTCAGCTATCATATTGCTTTATACATAAATGTCCCTCAGATGTTGGTCTTTATGATATTAATCACAGAAAAAGAGGAAGTTGAAAGTATCATAAGGAAAGCCTATGTTGAGCCATAGTCCCAGAATCTTGCCTTTTTTCCATGTGTACAATTACAGTTTCTAAAATTTTTTCACCAAAGCTCCATACGTCTTAGCTTTAAAAATCAAAGCTAAGTTCCCCACTGTGAAGACAAAGTTGGAATGCCTGTTTGTACCTTGACTTTGTACTTTCTTTCATCTTATTCTTGAATGTTGGAATTTTGTCCAACCCAGATAGAATCTAGATTTTGAAAGATAGATAAACAATTGAAACATGGAAAAATGACAAGTAAACAAATAACTCACATCAAGGGACCATCAAATACATTACCTTATTTAATTCCCTCAGCAAATATATGAGGCAAAGCCTATTTTTGATTACACACATAATGGAAATTTACTGTAGTGAGGGTAAGTAACTTGTACATTGTTGCATAGCTCTTAACCGATGCCACTACCGGTCAGAACCAGGTCTTAGAACTGGATGACAAAGTAATTTAAAAAAAAAAAAGTTAAGCAATTATTATGGGTTTGAGATTTGGAAGGATATAAATGTAAGCAAAATAGAGAAAGACAGGCCCTGCTCTTGTTGACCTTCCCTGTAACAATTGAGAGTGGATGCTGTCAAGCTGAAGGCTTCTGTTCTGGGAAATTATACATCATCATATTTGGAGTGTACTGTGGAAAGCCACTTAGTTGTGAAACATGCTGGAGACAAGAATTCTCGCCAGGTTTTTACTGTAATAGATTTAGAGAGAGGTGACAGGGTCCTAGACAAGGGAGTGAGAGTGAAGATATGAAAGAGGTAACAGATTTGAAAATCATTTCCACATAGGGTCTTGGTGGTGTGCATGGTGAAAAGGGAGCAGGAGCTGACCCTTCATTTTGAAAGTAAATTATATGCTCTCCCTCAAGGTCCATGCTGGACCCAAAGATATGCAAATACAAATAAGATCATCTTTGCCCTCAGGGAATGAAGACTGTCATCTCTCAGGTGTTGCAGATTCAGGCAAAAACAGGTGAGGCCAGTGTGTCAGATACAGAAGGCAGGACATTGCAAAGCCTGGGGACTGACCACAACTTAGAGGGCATGTCCCTCCAAAGGCATTCCTGCAGAAGGCAGAGCAGCTGGATTGAACTCTGTTCAAATGTGATCTCCACATTGACTCCCAAAATTCTACTCAAAGAAATTTAGTACATGATTTTGCTGTTAATTTATACAGGAAATATACCATAAGAATCAAGTTTGGGAGACTGTGGTTAAGGATTGTTAGTTTTTAAGGTCTGTTGACATTGAGGTTCCAAAGAAATTACCTAAAGAATAAGGGTCCTGGGACTCAGCAAAGAGATATGGGAAAAGAAGTAAGTACCCTTTATAGCAGAGTTGAGCTTTTTTGTGAAAAAGAGGACTGCAGGTGTTTTATATTTAGACTGTCTAGTCAGATGGTAATTACACCCTCTTTGTAATCAGTCAGGAAAAAATTGTTAGAGAAGAAAGAAGGATGCAAAAATTCTATGAAAATGGAAACTTGGCAAGTTAAGAAGAGGTGCTCTGGGGAGGAAGAGGATTTATAATGAAAGTGGAGGAGGAGCCAAGCAGGGGTGTCAAGGAACCCCAGCATAAGTGCCAAAAGTGAGGGGTAAGGAGGTGGAAGTGCTGTGCCTGCCTAGGTCGCCTTGCTGCAAGCTCCCTGTAATGAGCCTCCTCCCTGATGTTTTGCAGGGTGACGACTCAGATGAGGAAGATCTTTGCATCAGCAACAAATGGACTTTCCAGAGAACCAGCCGCAGGTGGTCTCGTGTGGACGACCTGCACACACTATTCCCTGGGGGAGACAGAAATGGGTCACCCGTGGGCCCTATGATGAGAAACACAACCAGCAGTGAGAGTGTCCTCACAGACCTGAGTGAGCCCGAGGTCTGCTCCATTCACAGTGAAAGCAGCGGAGGCAGTGACGGCCGCAGTCAGTCAGGCCAGTACTGTGCTGACAGCCCAGTCATGCTGGAGGCCACCCTAGTCAGCAGTGGCCTCCCACAGTCCCCCCGAGACACTCTCAACCACCCTTTGCACCCCAAGAATGAGAAACCCAACAGGGCCAGGGCCAAGTCGATTTTGAAACGCATGGAAACACTCCGAGCTAAGGGAGTCCATGGGAAGCATAAGGGACCAGGGCGGACAGGTGGCCTTGTGATCAGTGGACCTGTGTTACAACAGGAGCCCGAGTCCTTTAAGGCCATGCAATGCATCCAAATACCAAATGGAGATCTCCAGAACTCACCTCCAGCTGCCTGCAGAAAAGGGCTTCCATGCTCCAGTAAATCCAGTGGTGAGAGCAGCCCCTCAAACAGCAGCAGTGGGGTGAGCACGCCATGCCTGAAGGAACGAAAATGCCACCAGGAGGCCAACAAGCGTGGGGGCATGTACTTGGAGGACCTGGATGTGCTGGCAGGGACAGCACTGCGGGATACAGAAGACCAAAGCCACACCCATGGGTTTCACTCCCAAGAGAATTTGGTGGTGCATATTCCCAAGGATCATAAACCAGGAACATTCCCCAAGGCACTTTCTATCGAAAGCCTGTCACCCACAGATAACAGCAATGGGGTTAACTGGAGGACTGGGAGCATCTCCCTGGGCAGGCAGCAGGGCCCTGGCGGGAGGGAGCCCAGGCTCATGGCATCCTGCCACAGAGCAAGCCGAGTCAGTATCTATGACAACGTCCCCGGCTCCCATCTGTATGCCAGCACAGGAGATCTGCTGGACTTGGAGAAAGATGACCTGTTCATCTTGGATGACATCCTGCAGCAAGTCAATGGACTCCAAGAAGTAGTGGCTGACTGGTCGAAAAATGTCTTGCCTGAACTGCAGACTCATGATGCGTTGGGTGGGGAACCTGGTTTACCTGCCTTGCCATCTCCTAATCAGATCACCTTAGATTTTGAAGGCCACTCTGTCTCAGAAGGTCGGACAACACCCAGTGATGTAGAAAGAGACGGAACGTCTCTGAATGAGTCTGAGGCCCCTGGGGTCAGAGAAAGGAGGGATTCTGGTGTAGGGGCTTCTCTGACCAGGCCAAACAGGTAGGTGGCATGATTTCATAAAATGGAGTTTCACTCATTTTGTAAGAGTTATGCTTTGTTTATTTGCTTTAATAAATAAATAGAGAATCTACAGAAAGCCTGATACCATTCTTGGGTGATGCCATTCTTATGTGGCTTAGAATTATTTGAACAGAAGTGAATCTTTTGTACAGATGCAGTAACCAAATCCATGTCAAAACACATTTAATTCTCTTTACCCTTTATTTGAATCTTAGTTTTATTAAAAAAATTATTTTGAGCTTCTTATTTGCAAAGCTCTTTACTAGGCATCCACATGGGGAATGACAGACAACTGAGTCACAGTCCCTGTGCACAGATGCTTCCCAGTATTAGTTAAAATGTTTCTACTTCCAAATTTAAACTCTTTAATCCCATGAGAAATATCTGAGATCTAAGGTGGGTGCCTCATAAACTCTTTTTGCTTTAAGATGCTGATTATAAACCATGTAAAAGCTGGTTTACAAAGATTATTTCAGAAATACCCTAATAAAATGGCCCTGGGAGGCTCTAACTAGTAGAATCACTATCACTGTGTGTGTGGCTGGCTCTGGTTGAAACAGTGCTTAGTCTTAAGACTCATTGATATGTTGTCATCTGAGCCTGTCACTTTCAGTCTCCATCTCAACATTGTCCAGGAGTTAGACAAAGAGGCCCAGAAGGAAGCATGAAGTGGTCTACAGCCCCCAAATGTCTGAGAGCACTCCTTCTCTGCTCACCCTCCTTCTATGTCTCTGTCTCCATCTTTCTGTTTCCATTTCTGTCTCTTTTCCTTTTTCTGTGTCTTTCAGTCTCTGTCACTCTCTTACACACACACACACACACACACACACACACGAGTCTCAAGTTCTCAATATTTGGGGAATGAATTTGGGAATAAACAAAAATTATTGAATCATTTATTTAAACCTCATAACAAAACTGATAATTTTTCCAACTTGGAAAAAACCAATTTTTTATCTCAATTCTATACATTTGTGTTGTCGATTACATTTGTTCTGTGATTTTCTTGGCTCAGAAAAGGTTTTGATTAGCTGCTTATAGATGAAGGATATCCTGTGTTTCCCAGTACCGAGTCCACTTTGTGACTGGCTTCTCTGATGGTCTTTCTGCTCAAGGCGACTCCGATGGAACAGTTTCCAGCTCTCACACCAGCCCCAGCCATCCCCGGCATCACCCCACATCAGCAGTCAGACAGCCGGCCAGCTGAACCTGCTCCAGCGCTTCTCACTGCTCCGCCTCACAGCCATCATGGAGAAGTACTCCATGTCCAACAAGCATGGCTGGACATGGTGCGTAGCACGTTCACAGGGGGATTGTTCGCTCACAGCTAAGTATGCGATTGCAAAAACTTCAGTGTTTGCATTCTGATGTCTGAAGAATCCATTCACTGCCTGTCCTGACGCTGTCCTTGAAGTAATGCACGGAGTTCTGTCTCCCTGTCCGCCTTCCAGGCAGGCGCAGCTCGGGTGTGATGTAGCCTGCAGGAAGCATTGCTTTATTTGTAGCTCTCAGTTGGTTTCCAGGGAAGGCAGTCAGACACCAAGACAGAAAAAAGAGACAAGTAAAGGGTGATTAATTGTGAACAGAGGAATTAAAAATAAACTGACTATAAAATAATTCTGGCATTCTGCAGATAAACATGTGTCACTTGTACCTTCTCTCCCAATACAGAACTCACTACTTAGAACATTGATTGACTCAAAGTGCATTTGATTCTTCACATACATTTATGCTTTTATTTCATTTGAAAATTAAAATGAGAATATCCAGTGAACCTTTGTAATTAAGGAATTGACTTTAAAGCATATGTTGGAACTTGTATATAGATCTATTGTAGATGATTTGGTGAATTTGAAAATGTGTCAATTTTTGTCCCTATGTTATATATTATGTATGTAGATGAATCCATGGTGCTTTTATAAAAAATTTTTTTAGAAGTTTATAAATTGCATGGTCAAATTAATATATGCTTATGTATTAAAATTCCTTTAAAAAATGCAACTGGCTCCAGAGAAGTAAGAACATAAACAAACAAAAAACGTGGTTTATCTTCTCTCCTCTCTTTTTTCCTGCAACCCCAACCAGATTTCTTGTTCCTGTTGGAATTTTTACATGTGTTTAATTTTATTCTGTTGGGGACTTTTAAGTGTTCATCACTTGAGAGATGTGGCAATAACAATTCAATTGGAAAACTGTCCATTTGACTTGAAAACAAAGCTACAAATACATTCTGCAAATGCTGTTTAGTAGACATACATAGGCAAGGGCCACACATAGTATTGCCATGCAATGTGATTAACACAGAAAGAATGTTGAATTCTCCCTGTGTCTCTCGGGTATTCCAACAAGAGCTTGGCTTCCTTTCTCTTGCTTCCACAGCCTCTCCCCACGGTGTGCCCCAGGGGGCTTGCATGACCTGGTTTCTGTGAATTCTAGGTCAGTTCCAAAGTTCATGAAGAGGATGAAAGTTCCTGATTACAAAGACAAGGCTGTCTTTGGTGTTCCTCTCATAGTCCACGTCCAAAGAACGGGACAACCTCTGCCTCAGAGCATTCAGCAAGCACTGAGATATCTTCGTAGCAACTGCCTTGATCAGGTATGGCTGTAAACCTAGATTTGGACTTGGATTGATGGAATGCCAGACTGAGTTAGATCTGTTCACTCCCAGGCAAGATCTGCCCCACCAAAACTAAAAGGCATTACAATCTTTACACGCTAAAATTTAATTTGACTAGGCTCAATCCCTGCCAAGCTTTGTGAGGATGTTTCCTCATGACTACTGGGGTGACACGTTGAAGTGACTGCAGAAAGTTAATGTTAATATTTGTACCTGCGATGTCTAATTTACATTCCCAAGAAACTGAAAGGTAAGCTATGTCCTGCATTTCTTTTCTTTTTTTTTTTTTTTTCTTTTTTTGGTACTGGGGATTGAACCAGGGGCACTTTACCACTGAGCTACATCCCCAATTCTTTTTACTTTTTATGAGAGAGGATCTTGCTAAGTTTCTGAGGGTCTTACTAAATTGCTAAAGCTGACCTTGAACTTGCATTTCTCCTGCCTCAGCCTCTTGAGTGGCTAGGATTACAAGTATGTACCACTGTGCCCAGTTTGCATTTGCTTTTTAATTATAGTCTCAATGCCACCACTGATTTCACAGCATGCTTTTATCCCTCTCATATTATTTTTGTAAAAAAATAAATTGGTTTTTGTAACTCCCTTTATTAATTTTTTGAAGCAGCATATGACCAGGAAATCTTAAACCAAAGACAGATTTATTTACATCTTTTTAAAATGTACAAGTAAAAAGTGATAAAAAAAAAAATATGAAAACAGTATGATCTAAATCAAATATCCTTTCATCTAAAAGAGTTGATTAAAGCTTTTGTTATACAAACTATTTAGAGATTATTTTCTGCCTCTGAGACTATTTGAGGACCATAATAATGGTGGACTGTGATTAAGCCCAGAGTGAAATCCATCCTGTAATTTACAAAGCAAAGCCTTTGCTTCTCCAAATTAACACCCATTAGTTTCTTAAACATTCTGTCCAAAATAAAAGTCATGTCCCTGCTTCATAAATTGCAACCTTGAGTAGTGGATGTATTTGCAGGCAACAAAGTAACCATCTTTGTTCACCACACTTTTTAATGGTATGCAGAGAATATGTACCAACCTTAGATTATTCAAAACTTTTATTGATTTGCCCTTGACCATGGCTCAGTTGACACAAATGAGCTGAGTTACATGAGTTCAAAGATCTTGGCACTGATTCTTGTAGAGAACCAAAACTGAAAGCACACATACAGGCAAGATGATTTCTGAATGAATTAAATACTAGGTTTTGGTGGAGCAAAGTAGGAGTAACTTTGTCATTTGAAATCATCTTTGATTTAACTGGAGACATTATGCTCTTCAATCTTTTGCATGTCTAATCTAGAGAATATATAGATATATATTTTTGCATATTTGGATGTCATTGTAGAAGGTGGAGTGGCTGCTGTTGTTGCAATGATGATGTTTTGGTTTTGTGAAATGAATTTAATAACATACCTCATATTTCTCAGAAATAAGGGCAGCAAAGTGCTTAAAAATAGGATGCTATGAAAGAGAATATTTTGCTCCAAAAGTATGGCCAGCTATTACTTATCAGAAGAAAATATATTAAGAAAAAACAATTGTTGGTTCAGGAATGCCCAAAGGGAATACAGTCCATCTATGCCATATATTGAATAACAGTAACCTTTCTTGACTGTCCAGCAAGTTCTGCTTTCACTGCTTCATTTAATCCTAGATCTACCCTAGGTAGTTAATACCCCAGCCTCCATCATGGAGCCAACACCTGCTTGTAAATCTGTGTAACTCCAGAGTTTAACTCCCGTGTTTAACCACTGCATTCTACTGTACTGTTAGAATTGCTTTTACCTTGTGAACTTTGGGGTGGCTCCATCTCCAGCATTAGGGGACACTTTAAGAGTTGGTCCTGTGAAACTCATTGATGAATCTGGTCTGTAGATTTTGTTGACGATTTTGGTCATTACATCCTGTTGTATTCTTTATCTGAGAATAGGAGGAATAATTTTTTCCTAAGGCACTATCCAGCTCTTGAAAACAGTGTGCTGCTTCTGGATAATTTATCTGTTTTTTATATTATAGACACAAGGATCATTCAATTGAGTGTACAGAGAGTTTTCCTCTCTGTACTGACTGCTAGGAAGCTTGGAGCCAAATGCATATTCTGTCTGCAGTAAATATAGATAATTTTTTTATGAATTTTCTACATCAGCCTCATACCTAGTTTCAGTTACTATTTTCTATCTTTATTTTCCTCTTGCTGTAATTTTTCTATTATTCTTAATTTGACTATATCTTATTGTATTTTCTGTATCATTGTAAGTCACCTTAAAGTCCTCCTTGAACAAAGTTGGGTATAAATAAATAAATTATAATACCACTATTCTACTCTCTACCAGGTCCTAAGTATAGAATGGGAATAGAAATTTAGGAATTCCTGCCCAGTGGAGATTTTGAATAATATGCATCACCAGCATTACTGCTATGATTTGACCCAGTCTTCCTTTCAAAGCAAAAGTTGCATGGAGAGAAGAAAGTCATAAACTGAGAGGAAAGTGGACACCAAACCCTCCTTCAGCTCTGCTCACTGGCTTGTCCCCAGTGTCCATCTCAAGTTTCTAACTAATTTTTAAGTCTGGAAAAATTCCATGTTGTAAAACTGTACAGACAAAGCCTTGTAGGAAAGAGATTCATTTCAAGGGCATAAAGACTGACTCTAAATGTAACCAGACTGAGCACAATACAGTGTTTCTCTTGTTATCAGTCACCAGGAAGAATCTGTAGGATGTCAGATGGACTTTTGCTGCAGTCAATTCCCACCTTAATTCTGGCAGGGTTTCCTTCCTCATCTCATTGTGGGGAACATGCAGAGGTTACTCTTCAGATCCCTGTGGGAAAGGAAAGTTGTCTAAGAAGGAAACTGAGGAAAACTGGAGAAATGAAGAAGAACCAAAAAAAAAAAAAATCCAAGTAGAAGAGGAAGACTGTCTTAGAGAATTAACAGCAAATAAAAATTAATGAATCCAAAAAGACAGGGAATCAAGAGAAAAAAGGAAGAAGAGAAACACTAGATGAATGTCACTTGTAGGCCAGCAGCACCTCCTTGGAGAAGAGATTCAGTGTCTGCACAGGATCTTGAAATCTCAGCCCTACCCATAAAAGACCAGAAAGTCTCCAAATATCCTTCTTCTAAGCCATGCTTGAGCAGAAAGCACCATCCAAGTCCTGCCTAAGGCTCTGTCCTTGATCTGAGGGAAGGAGGATTCATGCAGGGAACTGGACCACTTCCCCTCAAGCTCAGAGTTCATCTGGAACATAAGCACTCATCACAGAGTTGATTCCAGCCCCACAAAGTCCTGAAACAGTGCCAGCATTTCACCTCCCACACTCCCCACTGCAGAGCAGTTTATATATGATGAAGCATAGCTTATCCATTTGCGCCCTTGCAGATGGCTGTAGATGAAATGAGGAAGTTTAGCCTTCAATTACGAACCATTTGTATTCAGACATAGCAGTGCGTGAGAGGAGCCTTGCTTTGTTGTCTGCGCCTTTATTTCTGCCCTAAATCAACAGTGCACAGAAGCATAGGTTATACCGGTTCCTGACGAATATGAAGTCAGCTCAGTGCTCAAAATCAGAACCCGCTGCACACTCTCCCTATGAATCTCTCCCTTTCTGAATAAACCCAACCTTTCTTCATTAGCTGAGCAAATTTCTAAAGAAGAGGAAATGGAAGTCCTGATAAACATCATTAAGCCCAGAAAGGATTAGCATAAACAGGATGCCAAGAAGGAGATTTAATATTATTTAGATGAAATTTGAATTGTAATGCAGCACTCATGCCCAACTGCTCCTTCTAATGGAGCAGTAAGTTTTAAAAGCCTAATTATGCCGGGAAGGCACTTCATGCTCAGTGCCAGGGTCCTCTAATCCGCTGCCTGTTCATCACTTTGCCTATCTCAGATATAACGAAGGATGCTTGCTCTGAGACTATCGATTTAAATCATTCCCTCAGCCCTTGGTTTCTCAAAGCTGGGTTTTTAGGTGGAAGACAAAAGAGAAGAGAGAAAAACTAGATGAAGGGAACATTATGCACTATTCATTCTTTCGTTCTTCTTAAGGTGGAGCGAGAGAGTGCAGGCAAGAAAGATGTTTATAAAATGAATTTTGCATTGCTGACCATCATTGCTTCCTTTTTTGAGAGGATATTTGAGCTGGGCTTTATAAAAGCAGGACGTGTTATGTAATTTGTGGGGCCCTGGACAAAATGAAAATATGTGATTCCTTCTTCATATATTATTGAGAATTTCATAACAGCAACAGTAGAACTTGTGTGACTGCCCAGATTGCCCACCTGACAGTGATAGACACAGAGGTAAATGAAGGACATAGACCCTCTTGGGTCTTGCTCCTAGTGAAGCTAAGGGAATCTGAGTTCACTTACCACCATCAACAATGATGAGGATGCCCTCAGAAGCAACCCGTTTCTTCAATCTCCATTTATTACATTAAAAACAAAAATCTTTAGTTATCCCCGTGTTGAAAACTTTTTGAAAAAAAAAAATGGCTGTCAACAATCACTTGTACCACCATGTGGTCTTGTTCTATGCAGATAGATAGGAGGCACTTTTCTTTGGTCTCAGGACCTCTACACCATTAGAAGTACCTTCTGCTTACTGTGTCCAGATGCTGTCTACAGCAACCAGGAGAAGCCTCAGCCCAAAATAGCTTGAATGTTAGGAAATTCATATCTCACATACAGACAATAATGAGTCAGAAAACAGGATGGTGCCAGGGTTAGTTCATTCATCAGTTCATCAATATCTTTGGAGACTGTAGTTCTTTCCATCTTTCCCGTCTGCCTCTTTAGCTATTGCATCTCAAATCTAGACCAATTTGAGACCACTTTTCCTTTATTAGGTTTAGGACATTTCCTCTGGCTTCCAACAGAAATCCATAGAACACACAGATATTTCCCATGTCCCCTGGAAGGTAAGCGCAGTGTGGGAATGTTATTGTCAGAATTTGAAACAAAACAAATAAATCTTTGACAACCCTGAGACATCCTATGAGCTCAAAGTCAGAACAAACAGCTCAGAGCCTGCCGCTGGAGAGCCCCAGACATGTCTAAAATAATTAAAATAACAACATTTGCCGAAAAGAGAAAGAAACTTGGAATCTGAACAATACAAAGAAAACACCTTTGGGAAGTGTATGTGCATGCACATTAGTATGGACCTAGAAACAGAGCTTGAAGGACACAGTAGACAAGAGGAACATGCTCAGCAATTTAAACATAAACACTCTTTTTATAGATCTGATCAATATTTCTCTGCTGTTTAAAAAACATAGGAATTCTTCTCAAATGAAATAATACCAACTCACATGAGGATAAAGATTTGTGACTTACACTTAAGAATTCACCTTCAGAGCATTCAGATTCTGAAAACTCCCATGCAGCACAGTTCTGTGATGTACACAGTCCTGGGCCTTCTTCCAAAATTAAAAACTCAAAATGTAAACAAACGCAAGATGCATCTCACTTCAATAATCACCCATCTGATATCTTATATTTTTCTTTTGACAATGCATGCTTTCTTCTCATGCACTTTGATGAAACATGGAGTAGTTGCCAGATAAAGAAAGATAACTTTTATTTAGATTCTTTATGGAGAATAAGCTAAGTATAGCAATTTTGCATTTTCTAGATACTTCAATCTTTAAGAATAAAAAAAAAAGTATTGAAGGTTTAAAGTGATAATATGTCTGAATATCCTGACCTGTGAAATTAGGGTTAGGATGATAAGCCTTGGAATGCAAAGAAATATTGCTAAGATTCTGTTTTTGTGACCACAAAAAGCAACTCTGTATAATTTCCCCTGTGATCCATGCAGCTGACATATATAAAAACCTGAGTGTTCTCTAATGGCCTGGAGTTCTTCCTTTGCTTTAACTGCAGTTTAAAAGAACTGGGGTTTTAGGGCTGCTCTCATTTATAGCAACAATCATGAGAGCCTTTGTCAGACACCTGAACTTGGGTCAGGGCCCAGGTGTGATCTTGGCACACAGAGGAGCTGGCGAGACAACCGTGCTCATATTTTCTTCATTGCCAACTCTGGTGCCACTGTCTACCATCCAGCCACTTGGGAATGTTCCCACCTTGCTTTGCATAAGTGGGCCAACCTCAGAGCCACTGAGGAATGAAAGGAGTAGAAAATAAAGATTGAAAAAACTGAGTTTTGAAAAACTTGATGCCCTCCAGGCATTTAAAATGATCAGACATTCTTTCACTGTAAGCCAGAGCTCCCAGGAAAGCTCAGTTCTTTTTATGGATGGAAGCAAGTCCAGGGTGGGGAGGGCTTCTCGAGAGCCTGAGCTTAACCTGCCCAACCAGGCCAGGATCTTCACTCTTGCAGTGAGGGCTCTGCCTACCTCACTCATCCCTATTCAGGCCATTATTTTTTGGTTTCTTATTTTTCTGTTTATTTGTCAAGCAGGGAGGTGTTTAAGTCCTAGAGGTGAAAAAAGACTGACATGATCATGTCTGAATAAAAGCCCCCCAATTGTCATTCTCAATAGAGGGGTCTATATACAAAACAAAGTGGAGTAGTAAGTGCCAGGCATAGGAGCCACATACATCATGGTGCCAAGGATTAAGCAAATAAGACCCTAAATCAAATTATGTACTTATAATAATATTTTCTTGCGTGGGCATATTCCCTATAGACTTCTCTTCCAAGGGGTATTAAATATGGTTGCTTATCTTGGACCCTTCCTTCCACCAAGCACCTTACTCCCAGGAAAATTTTCATTGCCCAGACTTTCTCAAAATCCCCATGAAAGTGTAAATGCTAAAGGGCAGGGAATTTTGTCTACTCTGCTCCCTAATGACTCCTAGCAAAAGAATGCCTGGCACATAGTGGATGCTTAATCACTACTTTTTGAATAAGTGAAAACAATATTGACATCTACAGTGTGCCAGAACTCTACGGGTCACACAGCAGCTTCACATATGTTTTCTCATTCAGTCTCCACGACAGTCCGGGGCAGTGGGGTCTTATTCTTATCTTCACTTCACAGGAGAGACATCATTGTTCAGCTTTGCATGTAGTAGCTACAGGAGTATTCAGAATTGTGAATTAAAATGCAATTTTAGCTCATTCAGTTCTGGTCCCAAGCCTTCTGGTGTCAGGGAAAGGACAGCCCAGCTAATGTGTCCTGATGGCTCATTTCAGGTGGGTCTTTTTCGCAAGTCGGGAGTGAAGTCTCGAATCCATGCCCTACGTCAAATGAACGAGAACTTTCCTGAAAATGTCAGCTATGAAGACCAGTCCGCTTATGATGTGGCAGACATGGTGAAGCAGTTCTTCCGGGACCTCCCTGAGCCTCTTTTCACCAACAAACTCAGCGAGACCTTCCTCCACATCTATCAATGTAAGTGGGGGTCATACCAATCAGTGTTCTCATGTGCATCCAAACCATTTTTTTAAAAAAACCCTATAGATTGAATTTTAACACATGAATCCATAAAGAAGGGTGTAAAAATTATAGCCCTAATCTCCTCTCCAGAAATAACCTTTGTTCAGAGTTTGGTGTAGAATCTCCACAACATTTTTTATGCACCGGAAAATATCTTTTTGACATCAAAATATTTCTTCTCAATAGAGCTTTCTTGGTGTATGATCTCAAACTAACTTTCAATGATATACTTTCAAGAAATTTAAAATGATAAGGGTACATGGTCAAATTTATTTTGTATTTGGGTATTTATTAAAACATTTAATTTTTTAAAAAATACACATTTTCTTGGGATATAGGAAATTTAAAGCTGAATGTACTAAAATAATAGAAATTTTTTAAAAAGCAGATATATTTTAATTGGTGAAAAGCAAGCAAACCAAATCAATGCTTCAGCTGAATGCAACTAATTCATATTTTCACTTGGAATTTTTTTAAAATAATGTTAAATCAATAGTTCTCAGAGCAAAGCCACTATAGTTAAAATAATTATTCAAAATAACAACTGCTGATTAAAAATCCTATCCTGCCAAAGGTAATTGTAAAGGGAGATTATTAGAAACAAATATGTAAAGCCAGGTGCAGTGGCTCTCACCTGTAATTACCAGTGACTTGGGAGCATGAGGCTGGAGGATCAAAAGTTTCAGGCCAACTTGGGCAACTTATCAAACCCTATCTCAAAATAAAAAAGAAAAGCAAGAGGGTTGGGAATGTAGCTCAATGATAGGGTGCCCCTTTATTCAATCCCCAGTATTAAAGGAGAAGAAAAGAAAAAAAGAAAGATGTGAATCTTTTCTAGAAATGATAACATTAGGACTATGGATTACTTTCATGGCCTAAGTCCCTATTCCTTATAGTGGGGGACAAGAACAGTTGGCCAGTGGACTTTCGGTTTACAGCAAAATATGCCTAAAATGGGTCTTGACATGGAATTGACCCAATTTGAAGATCCCCGCTGTAGGGATTTCTGTACTAAATATGTTTAAAGAGTGTATAATATTACAAATTCAAAAAGGATTGTAATTAGTACCACTTGTAGAAACAGAATAAAGTGGTGACCCACTAAATAAATATTATTTTCTCCAAGTGAATAGGTTAAGTTGAAATAATGATACACATTGCTAGAGCCTAAACACAGGGTGTTCATGAAAGGGCTGCTGAGAGGTCAAACACCATTTTTCAGTTAAGCCTCCCTATGACTTGGAAGTATCCCATATGAGTCTTGACATTTAATCAGGTCTGGGGCTGAAGTTGACACTAGTGTACATCTAAGGCTAGATTATTTCCAAGAGATAAATGTCTTTGGCTCTTTCTGAGATATAACCAAAAAGCCAGATCAAAGCAGGGCTTTATTTTAGCTGAGCAAACATTTATGGAGTGGGATTTATGGACAGGGTGTGGTGTGGAGCGTGGCAGAGCATATGGATGCTGCCTGAGACTCACGCTCTGCTCTTAAGGATCTTACAACTTAAAGAGACAAGACATGAACATAAATGACTGCAATACAACAAGGTGGGAAAAATAACACAAAAAGGTTTCAAAGACAAGTCCAAGAAAGCTGAGATGAGTGATGAGGACTTGGAGGAAGAGAAAATGACACCCAAAGGTTGAGATATGTGAGGAACACATGCTAGATGAAGCAAGTGGCATGAGCATGTGTCAGAGCAGCTCAAGGTTTTGTCTATCTGTCCTGCAGGGGTACTAAATGTACAACTTTTCAGATGACACTGATAAATTAGGCCAGGATCACACAAGGAAAGCATTGAAAATTAGAGCAGAGGTCTGTATTTGATCCATTAAGCATTGGGGAACCTTCAGGTATGGTTGAGGGATTTACCAGTTATGATGCTCTCTACTGCAAAAACAACCAAAAGTCCAACAAACAACTGTTTAAACAATAAGGACATTGTATTGTCTCACTTTACAAGAAATCAGAATTAAAACATTGCAATGTTAAGTAATTCTGCAACTCAGTGATGCCAGGGCAAAGTCAGCCTCTCTTGGCTTCCTTTTGAGGTCACAATATGACTGCCACAACTTATAATTGTCATGTCTTCATAAAATCACATTCAAAGGCATAGAGGGGCAGGGAGTCCTCCTTGGGCATTTTTCCTTTTTATCAGGGAGATAAATCTTGCAGAAGCTCCTAGCATGCTTTATGTCTTCTTCTCTAAGTCAGACAATGAAACGAGGAATGGGATTATCATTTTTTGGTTTAAGCCAACACAGTTCATCCCTGAACAGAATGTATGTTTTCTTAGGAAGAAAGGGAAGAATGAATGTTGAGTATGTAGCCAACTCTGAGCTTGCCACGAAGGTGAAAGTTCATGAGGACTGTTCTTTTGATCCATGAATGTGGAAGTGGTGTGCAGGAGGTATTTCATAGGCAAGAATGGAGGGCAAGAGAGCTGACGCACTAATGGAGGCTCTGGATTACTTACTGTGACTTCCAGCAGTGAGACTAGAAACTGGAAACAGGACAGTCCATAGATAGACCCTGCTGTCAAAGATTCCAGAGGACTCTTGGGGGAGAGAGGAACAGTTCCCCTCCCAGTTCTCCAGAGAAGTTCTGTTTTTCAACTGTGTTACTTCTTGGACTTTCATCAGATGATGAACATAAATAAGATGTGGTGTGGATCCTGAAGATATTTTAATCCCACCAGTCTATGAGAGGGGAAAGGATGGAGAGATTAAAGACAGCCCTATAGTTGTATGACTCGACAACGGAGAGAATGTGGACAGGAAGAGAAGGGGAGCTCACTTGTGGGGAGAAAGAAGAAAGGTGTTCAGAATAGAGAGGATGCTGAGAGTGAAGGACTGATGGCCACCCACCTGGCTATAAATTCTCAGCACTTAGAAAGGCAGATCTCGAATGGTCTCCAAAGAGCCAAGAAAGGCAGGAACCATAGCAGTGTCATGTGTAACCGAAAGGTCACAGTTGAAAAGGTTCACAATGAATGTGAATTGAGGGATTAGTAGTTGACCTTCTCAAGCCTTTTTAGTAGCAAATAATGTATAGGAGATATTTTCTGAGGGATAAAAGAACAAGTAGGAAATTAAATGTATAAAGATGACAGATGATTCCTTTAAAATGATGGTATAGGAAAAAAATCTTGGCATGGAATAAAAAAGCTAAACTTTCGATGACATCTTACCTATAGCAGCATATTTAAAAGCAGCTTAGTGGCTCAAGCTAAATTTATAATACTGTTACCCAACTTAAAATCCTAAGTAGTACCTGTTTGAACACAAGCAAGAAAAGAGGAAGTGGTTTTGCTATCATTTAAACAAAATAGCTCTTCTCCATAAACCCAGGTTTATCTTGTACCAGTACATAATAGATTCCATAGGGTGGGGATGGGTTTCAGCACGCTGAATGCAAGGTCACACTTTTCCAGAAATTTGGGTTTGCGGCCTGACTGGAGCCAAAAGTCTGGTCATCTCTGAGATATAAATTCTTTCTACATGATGCTGGAGAGGCACAGGAGAGCCCGACATAGACAACCCACAGGGACCACGAGTCTTTTGGCCATTCAGGACCCAGGCAGAGGTCACACATCGTGGCCCAATCTGGAGCAGGAAGCTCCAATTTCTTTTTAATCATGCACCCCTACTAGTGGTAAAAAGCTGTGTATATTTATTCATCTTAATAATACTGTGTGATATATGATTTAGAGTGCACATTATAAGGCAACTCAAGCAGTATTTATAATGGACAAGAGAAAATATAAACACATTTGGAAGTTCTAACATTTTCTTCTCACACCTCAAGGGATTGTCATGAGCACACCCTGCCCCTGATCCCTTGGGAGTACAGATGTCCTAGTGTGGAGACTTCTGCTCCAGAAAGCAGCCTTTTAATAAGGACAGCAGTATTAACTGAAGTGAGCTCCTGACTATGTCAGTAAATTAAACCTAAAGGATCATTAAACAAACACAGCCAGGGGGCAGCAAAATGCAGCACCTAACACCCATTCACTGACTTTCCATGTAGTTCACTTCATAATGTCAAGTTAGTTCCCTTTTAAATCTGCATAGCCAATGCCCACCAGAACCACTACCACCACCACCACCACCACCATCACAGGGACCACCCTCAAGAAGAATGAAACTGAGAAGGGCTGTCCATTCCTTATAACCTCAGGGAGCCTAGTTCCTCTTCCCCAGGCAAAACCTCTATTCCATAATCCCCCAAGATTACAGGACAAGTGACAGTGAGTTTCTACCCAAAATCACTGAGTACCTCTTCCCAACCAAATCCTGATGACTTCCAGGAGCAAGGAAGGGAAGAGGTACCAAGCTTATCATCAAGCCTCTGACCTTCTGGGAGTGCCCCAGGAGGCGCCAGCTGGATACTGTCACTCTCGGTTAACTGTGGCCATGCTGGCAGTATGATCTGGCTGCTCCATGGGAGGTGGGAAAAGGTCAGGCTGTTGTCCTATCACTCAGTGACTTTCAAATCACGTCCTGTAGAGCCCTGAGCATCCTAACAGGTGCTTCCAAAGCTGTCTGGTGAGGAGGATGGGCAAGAAAAAAAAAAAAACAAATTGGCAGAGCTTCGGTCCATTGCCAACCTTGTCTACTACAGAAAAATCAACTGAAAACAAATGACCAGACTGATTGCTCAGAGTGTGAAAAGCCAGGATAGGGGGGGTGTTACTTTCTAAGTATGGCTGGGTCATTCAGACCACAGCTCTGCCTCTCACCTATCTTTGAGGCCTAAGCCATTAGTTACTTCTTTATGCCATTAGTTATTTGGTTTTGGTGGTTGATGTCAGGAAGTGCAGATTACACACTCTGCTGCTAACTCTTTCGGAGGCCATTGCTCTAATGACTTGGTGCCCACTTTTCCTCAGACGTCCCCAAAGAGCAGCGACTGCAGGCTGTGCAGGCCGCCATCTTGCTGCTGGCAGATGAAAACAGGGAGGCCCTACAGACTCTCCTGTGCTTCCTAAATGACGTCGTCAACTTGGTGGAAGAAAATCAGATGACATCCATGAACCTGGCTGTGTGTCTGGCCCCCTCCCTTTTTCATCTTAATTTATTGAAGAAAGAAAGCTCTCCAAGGTAAGTTTTCCTCAACAACCGCAATCCCAAACCAGGACACCCCCACAATTCATAAATAAACTCCTCTCATGCTAGATTTCAACTTGAAGATTTGTCAGCTCTCACTTTATAATCAGAACATGCTCCAAAACGACCTCATTCACGTGACTCAGGTTCATGGAATTGTCAAAGTAGTATTGAAGAAGGTCAGTTGATATCCAGAAAGCCTGAGGAGTTCTGTTTGTAACAGTGGGAAGGAGGGGAAAAGTACACAGAGTTGTATTTTACGATCTTTAATTTTGAAAGACTATATTTAAACAAGAAAAACAAAACTCAGGAACATGTAGTTGGGTGGTTTCAAACTTTAGAAAAAAATTGATGCATTTCTCCTCCCACAGCTCTTCCTGCCCTTGTGTTTTTCCAAGGCTTTGGTTGTGAGCTCTTGGGCTGTTAGCCTGCCTTGGAATATCTAAGATGTGTGGTCATTGTTTTTATTTGGAAATGAGAAAGCCTGGGCTCTGGATAGCATCTGGGGATGAACAGAAAACAAAAGGGATGCGCTCAGTATTGTGAAAGGCTCTTTGGTTTGTGATCTGCTCAGCACTCACATTCAATTACAGAGTCATCCAGAAGAAATATGCCACTGGGAAGCCAGATCAAAAGGACCTCAATGAGAATCTGGCCGCAGCTCAGGGTCTTGCCCACATGATCACGGAATGCAACAAACTGTTTGAGGTGAGCAACAGGCTCTGCCGCCTTCCTCCTAGCTCTTGGAACTAGATAAGAAGCTTGGAATCCTTGCTGCGTTTATGGTTTATGTCTGTTTGTTCCTGACCTTATGATGACAATAGTATGCTCCATAGCTCTGGGTTTTGCCTCCAAGAAACATGAGGAGCTAGCTATACAGTCCAGGCTTTGATAGAGACACTTGGAGGCACTATGATGATGATTTTTTTGTGCAAACAATTGCATCACCTTCCGTTGTCAGGTTCAAGGCCAGTAAGCCAATTTTGTTATATTTGATTTTACCTCAGGGCTTGATTAGGCTCCACATCTGTGTGTGTGTGTGTGAGAGAGAGAGAGAGAGAGAGAGAGAGAGAGAGAGAGAGTAATGACAGCTTAGGAGTAAAGCCACAGATATGCCAAAGAAGTTAAGTGAACAAGACTTCTGACATATTTTCTGTAGTAAAATTGGCATTTTTCAATGGGAAGAGTGTACTAAAAAGGTAAAGCTATTTCTAAGTCGTTTTTGATGTTTCCTTCACAAGTCTATTGCATTAAGTCTGTTCACAGAGTAGAATTGTTGGAGCTCACATTTTGACAAACAGAATAAAAATAAAAGAAAAGGAAAATGGAAAGAATGAATGGGAAGTCATAGAAGTGTTCTGAATAATAAATATAACCTCAGAAACATATTTGTATTTCCTGACTTCAGGAAGGCCCCTCCCAGACTTGGCAGTGATCTTAGAAAAACATCTAGCCCTGTGACCCTTGGCCCATTGCTCAGACCTCGGTTGTTGATGAAATGACTTTGCTTCCTCTAACCATTAGTCTCAGCATTTCCCTTACCTCAGTGTGTTGCTCCTCTGTGTACCCCTTGCTTCAGGTCCCACATGAGTTGGTGGCCCAGTCTCGCAACTCATATGCAGAGGCTGAGATCCACGCACCCACCTTGGAAGACTTGGGGACGCAGCTGGAGGAGAGTGGAGCAACTTTCCACACTTACCTGGAGCATCTTGTCCAGGGCCTCCAGAAAGAAGCCAAGGAGAAGTTCAAAGGATGGGTCACGTGCTCCAGCCCCGACAACACAGACCTCGCTTTCAAAAAGGTAATCTCCCATTAGCCACATCTAACAACTGGGGATTTGTTTTTGCTTACAAATGGCTGCTCATCCATAGGACTCAGCACACAGGTGAACAGTTAAGACATTTACTGTTCAAAGACCCTGTCTAGAGACTGCTCAGCAGCCCTGCTGCGTGCAGTCAGGAGTCCAGACCATGGTACCAACTTCTGGATCCCAATCCTATCTCTGTCAGAGCTGTGTAATGTTGGGCAAGTCACTGCCTCTATTTTCCCATCTGGAAAACTGGACATTCTAAGAGAACCACAGTCAGAAGGGGGCTATTAACAAGTTAAATATGCTTAGAACAGTGCCTGGCACACAGTAGGCACTGCGAATGTTGGCAATTATCCTTTTGATTGTCATTATTATTCTTAAGCATAAAGATTAAATGGTGTGTAGCCTCGCTCTCCATTGACATGATAAGAGATTGTTTTTAAACCCCAGGAGAAGTGGGGCAGGTTTTTGTGGGACCCTGACCTCTTCAGTTTCCACTGGTGTCTTTCCCAAGGTGGGGGACGGGAACCCCCTGAAGCTGTGGAAGGCGTCTGTGGAGGTGGAGGCACCCCCCTCAGTGGTGCTGAACCGTGTGCTGAGAGAGCGCCACCTGTGGGACGAGGACTTCATGCAGTGGAAGGTGGTGGAAACGCTGGACAGGCAGACAGAAATCTATCAGTACGTGGTGAACAGCATGGCCCCCCATCCTTCCAGAGACTTTGTGGTTCTCAGGTAAGCGTGACTCCGGGTTTTATGATGTCCTGTTCCAAAAGCAGGACGAGAGCTGCAAATTTAAGCACTGCTTGGAGTTCTACCACCTAAATCCAGCCTCTGCTGGGAACACTAAGCCACCTCTCATTTCCCACAGTGAAACCTGACTTGGCCGTATTTATGCCTGACTTCCTGCTTCTTTACCCAATTTACAGCTCTGCTCGAGCTCTCTTACAGCCCCTCTCCTTGTGGAGCACAGAGTTTATTAGGCCATAAATATCATTCATTTCCCCAGAACAGAGGCCCCTGAATAGCTGCTGTTTGTCCAGTTGCACTTTCTGCCAAATTATGCAAATCGAATCTGATTGGCTTTTCTCCTGATCTTTGCCTTTCTCCCCAAGGAAAAGCAAGTCTTCATTAGGTGAAACTCTAACACAGGAGTGTGTATAATTTCAAAACCCTTCTGTCTAACTTCAGATGTTCATGACTAATTACCGTGCCCGGAAACCTTGGCACAGCCCTGCAGGTCTGCAAATGCTGAGACACTGGACTTACAATCAGATTTCAGGGCCTGGCAAGGCTTGGTGGGTGTTGTGCCTGCCACTGAAATATTGTTTCTGATTGATTTATGAGTTGAGTTCCAGACCCCTGTTCCCTGGGCTTGGAATGAGATGCTGAAGCAACAATAGGAAATTCGCACAGAAGTGCAATATTTCATCAGAAAGAACAGATTGAGGATATTAAAGAACCTGATACAATGTGATTAGATCAATATATTCTTTTTATTAAAAAACTAAGCAAACCCAGTCTCTTCTCACAGATCATCAGTGAAAAAGGAATCACTAGTGAAATTCCCAAATGTATATTTAAAATGGTTTCTTTATGAAACTACTTTCAAGAGCAAACCAAGGGTTACTTTTTACATGGGTTCTTCATTCCTTTGGTATTGGTCCTTGAGCCCTTAACTTTTAGGGGTGAGTTTTCTCTAAATATATGTGTGTATCCCAGTAACCTTGGGATTCTGGTGGAGAATGTGGGCGACTATAAGGGTGGCTTATTACCAACAGTTGTTGGGACATTAGTCATCTGTGGAGTTGAATTTCAGCCTTCATCCTCACAAGCAGAAAGTCGAGTGGTTGTCCAGGGTGCAGCCAGAGGAATGGGCCTTGCCGTAGCATGCCTCTTATTTCCCTGCAGAGGAGGGGGAGGGGGAGCCCCTGCATGGAGCCTCCCCCATTCCACCCGTACAGCAACCCTGCCAGCCTGCCATTTATTAGTGTGTCAAAAATTATACCTCATGCCAGGCACTGTTCAGCCTCTGAGGATGCCCAGGTGAACACAACAGACCGGGTCCTGATCTCTCAGGATTTATATTTTACTGGGGAAAGTGGGTTGATAAATAATAACAAAAAGGGGTAGGCTTATTTATCCTAGGTGGAATAAATAAGAAGGAGATGGTAAGGGTGGAATTTTAAATATAGTGGTCAGGGTCATGTCTTACTGCATGGATACAAGACTTGAAAGAGAAGTGAGTGGACCATGACACTCTGGAGGGGAGCTTGGCAGTTAGAAGGATTAACGATGATGCACCAGACCTGGCTCCTGCCAACAGGAATTCCTTACGTTTATGACACAGGAAGGTGGAAACTGACAGGTATGATGAGGAAGTGGCAGGGTTGAGATGCACCCTGTCTTCAGAGCATTTGCCCATCTGGGCTGGCATGTGTGAGGTTGGTCATCTCTTAGGATCACCATGGTTACCTCTCATTTTATAACCATCTCTAGCTCCTCAAGAGCTACAGTGAGAGTTACTGAAGCTTTTCCCGTCTTAACCCCACAGATCTCTAAGCCTGTCAGTCTTCATTATTTATCATATTGCCATGCATGAAAAGAAAATGATCATAGCCCAGGGGAACTTTCTGAGCATTTGTGTCAGGCTTGGTTACTCCCAAGTTCTGGTTGTGTGTCTTCATTTATTTTCAGTTACTATAATAAAATATCTGAGCCTGGGTAATTTATAAAGAGTAGAGCTTTATGTAGCTCACAGTTCTGGAGACTGGGAAGTCCGAGAGCATGGTGCCAGCATCCACTCAGCATCTGGTGAGGGCCTCCTGCTAGGCTGTGGCATGGCAGAAGGCGTCATGTGGTGAGACAGAGAAAGCATGCCAGAGAGAGCTTGCTTCTATGACACAGCCAGTCCCTCAACCACCCTTTGATTCATCAGTCAATTAATCCGTGAATGGATTAATCTGTTCATGAGGGCAAAGCCAAAGATCCCACCTCTCAACACCACTGCACTGGGGACCAAGTTTCCAAGACATGAAAATTTGGGAGCACGTAAAAGCCATAGCATGGCACATATCTAATAGCTTATCTTCTTCATGTGGTGGGATGGGTGAAGTCACAGATGAGACCCCTGAGCCAGGGAATAGGAGCGGTGAAATGAAGAGTGGGAGTTATAATACAGTCTGTTATCACAGATCTCTATGGTGGAAGGGGAAGTAAGAGGTGCTTACCTGGATGCCCTCATGGTTCCTGACTCCATGTACAATTATTTTCCAAGTAGTAGCCCCACTGAGTTTGAATAACTCCCGGGACAGGGAATTCAGGGCCTCGCAGGGCAGCCGGTAACAGCTGTGGGCAGTTCACACAGTGAGTGTCCTCCATACTGAGCCCAGCATGTGCCTTCCTGCTTACACTTCTTGGAGTCAAATCAACTATGGTTATTTCCCCCCAACCCAAGAGCCACTGAAGCATTTGGAGAGAATCAACAGGTCCACACAGGGTTAGTTTTCTTCTAATTAGGCACCAAAAAATCATTTATTTAAGACTTAAATCACCTACTCCAGGAAGCCTCCCCAGTTGCCTCCTCTGACCCCCTGCGTCATCCCAGAGCCCCCCCTGTGCAGAGCAGCATCAGTGCCCTCACCAGGGTGTTTTAGAATTGTCGGTGTCTCCTCCTGCCATGTGTGTCTTCGTGTCCCTGTGGCTTCTCAGGGCCCAGCACACGGATGTCTCTGCAGATGAATGGAAGAATTGAGGGAGTCCTAACTCCTAAACCCTAAAGTCATCTCTTCATTAATGGGCAAGAACTCCCCTTCCAGGACAGGGCCTCAGTTTGGGGTTCCCAATGCAGGTCTGAAAGCCTCTGAGTCTGAGAGCTGAAGCTTATGGAAACCATTAGCTTAATCCAGGTAACTAACATTGGAATTTGAGCCCATGTTTTTCGCAGGAGAATCTAAGTGTAAACCTTAGCTCTGTGTTCAGGTTTCTCTTTCTCTCTTAACTGTAACTGATGTGTAGCTTGTTTTGCTCCAGGACCTGGAAGACTGATTTGCCCAAAGGAATGTGCACCCTGGTGTCCCTCTCTGTGGAGCACGAAGAAGCCCCACTCATGGGTGGTGTGCGGGCTGTGGTGATGGATTCTCAGTACTTAATAGAACCATGTGGTTCTGGCAAGTCCAGACTGACCCACATCTGCAGGATAGACCTGAAGTAAGTGGCAGCTCCTGAGCATGGCAGGCACGGGTCTCAGGAGCATTCTTTACACACAGCTCATTCACCAGGGCCTTGTTGTGATTTCTAATTTCACTACTTCTTTTCCTCATTCCCATTAACAGACTTCCACAGATGATTGCATATTCCTCCTCTATTTCCTAAAATTCTAACATTTCTCCTCCTGTCCTTTGCTCTTTTTTATTGTTTCTAATTTATGTATTCACTTACTTTTAATTAACAAGCAAAAATTATGTATATTTAGTGTGCAGCATGATATTTTTATGTCTGCATGCATTGCTGAATCACTAAAACAAGCTATTCACATATCTATTTCCTCATGTTCTTATTTTCTATGATGAGAACACTTAAAATCTACTCTCCTGGCAGTTTTTGAGAATACAAGACTGTTATTCATGGTAGCCAGCATGTTGGTCTCTTGAACTTGTTGCCCCATCTAAAATGGAAAGTTTGTCTCCTTTGATCAACATCCATCTCCTAGCCCCTACCTTACCCCAAGCCTCTGGTACCCACCATTCTACCCTACTTCCATGAGTTCCACATTTTAGATTCTACATAATAGTGAGAATATGCAGTATTTGTCATTCTGTGCCTGGCATATTTCACTTAGTGTAATGTCCTCCAAGTTCCTCCACATTTCGTCACAAATGACCAAATCCCTTTCTTTTTGAAGACTGAGTAGTATTCCATTGTATGTGTAGGCCACATATTCCTTATCCATTGATTCACCAGTGGACACTTAGGTTAAATCCAAATGTTGCTGTTCCCTTCATTTGGTTTTGTTTTGTTTGTTTTGTTGTTGTTGTTGTTGTTGTTGTTGTTTTGTTTTGTTTTTTGAGAGAAAAAAAACAAACTTAAATTCAATCCCTTCAGGGAACCCAGCATACTGAGCTAAGTTCTTGGTGGAGGTAGATATAAATTTAGTTTTCTGAGTAAATTCTAGATTCAGTGTGAATCTTCCTGGTTTAACCCAAGGAGTTGGTATAATTTATAAGCAGCTGATGGCAGAATGGGGTCCTCAGATCCTCAAGGCAGCAGCCCTAAGTTGTTGCACATGTCCTGGTGACCAGAGCCCAAGGACAGCCCTGTCTACCCTACAAATTGCTGTGATTTGGAAGAAGACATCCCAACTCCCTTTCTCGTTTCTCTCCCTGCAGAGGTCACTCTCCAGAATGGTACAACAAAGGCTTTGGACACCTCTGTGCAGCAGAAGTTGCCAGGATTCGAAACTCTTTTCAGCCCCTCATTGCTGAGGGTCCAGAAACTAAAATATGAGTTTCCCCCAGTGTGACATCAAACTCAGGGAACAGGAAGCTAAAACAGACATTTGTGGCAGAGAGTGTGAGCGTGAGAAAGCGAGCAGGAGAGAGGCGCCGGTGAACGTGGTTAATCGTTAAAAATGGAAACACTGCGAAGTTGGAATGTTGGAGATGCAAGAATTTTCTGAGAACTTTTTCAGCCTTCCTGGAGATGGCTACATCCCTACTAATATAATATTTTTTTAAAAAATCAGAACATGTATCTATGCTACTTAAAATGAAATGGATTAGTCCTTATGCATTGCCTAATTTGCTATTTAAAAGCTTCTAAGAAGCATATTCTTAACTGTAAATAAATGTACATGTAGCATTTGTACATATATGTGTATATCTCTATCTTTCTGTATATATATGTAAAATATTGATTTTATATAGAATTGTCTGACTCCGTGAGTCCCTTCCTCACACAGCTCTTCCCAAGTTTCCCTGGCCCCACTCCCTACTGGCCCTTAATCTAAGCAGAGCCCGCTGCTAACACCAAGGTGTGAAAATTTATCATCTGTCAGCTTTACTTGATGTCTAGCCAAAGATTAGCTAACCAAAGGAAAATAGCATTGAAAGGTTCTTAAGCATTTTGCCAATTTGTTTCTGTTGTTCAAAAACCGAGAGTGGAGTGCTGGGAGAAAGCACGAGAAGGAATCCTTACTCCTCTTCAAAGCAAAGCAGTGGGTGAGAAGTTATTGCCAAAGTCTAGATTTCAAGTAGCATCTGGCAGTTTCAGTCAGTGCAATGTCAGATGGACACCAATGACCAAATCAAAATCAATACGCCACCCCCCAAAAAATGGCTGAATATCATATCATACCTTTTCATATTCACAGAGAGAGACTCTGTGTTGTCTCAAGTTTTCATAGACGTTTCCCATAGTGTAATTAAGTGTTCTTCTATTTGACCAGTGGCCTATGTGGTCATAGTTAATTGGCATTTCATTACCAATGTATTGCACTGAATTTACTCTGGACACCAGACAAAGGGAGATGACGGTCACTCAAGAGTCCTGGATAGTCACAGCTTCAGGGAATTTATATTTTGCTGTATGTGATATTCTTAAAATATAATTCATTAAAGTCTTGCAATTTGAAAAACAGGGTTTTAACTAACATAAGACCAAAACTATATTTTAATTAGTTTTAGAAAATATAAGCAAATATATTAATTCTATGTTTCTTCATTAGCCAACTCAAGCTGCCTATGCATATGACCCCACCTTATTTATTATTGTACAGACTAAGCAAATTAACTTTTTCTTAACCATTTGCAAATGGGTTTAAGTTGGCTTTTTTTAATTATTGTAATGCAACTCTAGTCGTAAAAATAACTTATTGTGCTTGGTTTAAAGAGAGATATTCTGAGGTTGTCTATGACAGAGACGGATATGATTTAGCAACTGATATTGGAGGGAAAAATGACTGTTTTCAGGGTTTTTTGTATTATAAGCATTTATGTGATGTCTTCTCTTATAAGAGATGTGCAATTGTCTTATTGAGAGGAATAAAAAAACTCTGCATTTGGTATGGTGCAAGGAAAATCATGCTAGGAATTTTTCATTCCCATGTCTACTTAAGATGGTGGCAGCAAGCCCACGATTTACCATTTGGGCAGTTCTCTGTGAGCAAGACAAATATGCTTCTACCATGACATCTTAAATTTAATCATATATCCAAGATTACTTTTTAATGCATCGACAAGATCATTAATGAAATTTAATCTAGCTAAACACTGGTCCTGCTCCAGAGGTAGGACACTGTGTGTTTGGAAAATAGAATGGGCACACCAGAATGAATGGCATCATATCGCACAGGGCAGTGCTACTCTAACTCTAGCCCACACAGGAATCACCTGGGGATCTTATTAAAATGCACGCTCTGACTTAGGCAGTCAGGGGTGGGCCTGACATTCTGCATTTGTAATGAGCCTCAGAGATGCCACGCTTGGAGTCCCAGGGACACACTTTGAGGAAAAAAGACTTAGAAGATACTGAAAACATAATAAAAACAAATATGATTGTACTTCTGACTTCCCCCCACCCAATTACTTGTCTTTTAGTTTTTATGCACATACTAATCACATCACCCCTGTAATAACAACATGGTGCATCTTTAAAATAGAGGAAAAGGGCAGGGGGGATGAAAAGAAACTGCATCAAGCTTGTTTGTCAAATACTACAGTATTTTATTCATCATTTTCTTGCCAATGGAAATAAAATATAATATTGCATTTAAATATTTATTTATACCTCATGTATATTTTTACCTCAATTGTTGGTATCAATCATCGACTGTAAATAAATAATTGCCAAAGCAAATAAATTTATATACATTAAATATTTCCTATTTTCGATAAAATACATGTTGATTTTCATGCTTCATTCTAAAAGTGGAAAACCTGCTCCAGGAGGAGGATTTCTCCCGAAGGGTGTACCATGAGCTTGACTCCTGGTGTTGTCTGTGGTCAGTCTCTTCTCCAAATGCAAGGATGTTGTTATCAGCAGACATTCACTAGCAGGTTAGACACTGCCTAACCTGAGTTGAAGGCGTTAAAGTGATGGGTAGGGTTATCACACACACACACACACACACACACACACACACACATTCAGGTATAGACATAGAGAATCTGGAAGTTATAAAACATACCGATAGTGGTTTTTTCAAGTATTTAGCGAACTCTTTACTACATTTTATTTTTGTTGAGTAAAGACTTTATAAAATGATGGAAACGGCACCACTAGGCCATGAAGAATAGCCACAAGTGACTCTGAGCTCCGTCCTTGCATTCTTGAACTTGTGCCCTGTAGATTTTACTTCTAAAAAACAGCAATGATAACCCTTGGCCAAGTAAACAGGCACCCCAAACAGTCTCAGCCATAGATTCAAAAGCCACAGCAGCCCCAAAGACCATATGGCCCCATAAAAATTTTTCTGTCTCTGCTCTTCACTCATCTCCTATGCCTTCTCCGTTACTTCAAAGTTTTGCTTTCATAAGCAAAGGAGGAATTCCATGTCCCCTGTTCCTCTTCTAAGTGAAGGAAGAGAATGTAGTAGTACAAATGGCTTCCTGGGAGCATGGATCATATGAATTCAAACTTGATTCTAAACATTCTTTGTGTGATTCTTAAGTGTAAAATTTCTACTTCTGTCTTTTGATATTTGATCATGGAATGAACAGCCATGTGACTTCCAGGGAGGATGGAGTAAAGCAATAGAATAGACCCCAGCTAGGTGAAGCTCACAAAAGCCAAGTCAATATAAATTTACATCACAGGAGCGAAAAAGAATAATAACCTGCCATTGCAGCCTTGTACCATTGCAAAGCCATGAAGTGTTAATAACTAACAACTGATAATGTGCAACCTGTGACACCTCTTAAGCAGTCTATATCCTTGTCGACTTTCTCAAAAACAGTGTATACTTCCACCCTGATAACCTCAGGCCACCTCAGTGATTCCTAGCCACATCCTCCTTGTGCACAGCCAAGACGACTCAAAATTCCATCACTGTACCTCTGGAGCCAGATGACCCACAGGATACTCTTCCTCATTCAGCACCCAACCAGCAGGAGCAGGACACAGCAGCCAGGGGTGCTGATTCAAAGGAGACATGGTATGAAGAGGGAACAGTGAGACCCAGGTGATTCTCTTTATTATGGTAGTTCTGTCTATAAGGTTTCTATAAAACCAAGTTTAGTGCCTAGTAAACCTAAGGGAAATACAGAATTAGGTCCCTGTGAGTCTCTGATCACGAGGCTTTTGTCAGACCATCGATGCAAAACCTTGTTTCTTTGTGTTTCTGTATAAAGACACATACACACACACTTAAAATTAATTATCCACAGTATTTCTTTATAATACAACCCTGGCCAAGAAGGGTTTAATGTTTTCCTAACCTTGCTTAATGCGACCATAAATATCTTGGGTTTTCAGCCTCTCAACAATGCTCTTTTGACTACACTGCTTGAAACCAGTTTTGTCATCTCGGAATCCACAATTTTGGCTGCTTTTCCATCACTCCATCACCCACCATAAATATCACTTCTGTAGATTTGGAGCCTTACCTGCTCTTCCTTCCTTGTTCTATGTGCCATATTGTTGGTTGTTAACATTGAATTCATGGCCAACGGCACTCTAACTCTGGTCTGAACAAAGCTCATCTAACACACAGATTTTTCCTGTGAGGCACATCCCAGCCTCCTTACACTTAGGACCCCCCAGATAGCACTTCAGCCATTTTAAACAATGAAATCACATTCAAAAGGGAAAAAAAATCAATAAATGGGAAAAGCATGGCACTAAATAAAGTATGAAAAGGACACATAGGATGAGACTTGAAACAAGAAGGCAGGTCGTCAAGCGGTTCACCCTCATCTGGAATGTGAACCCTGATGATTTCAACTTTTTTACACTCTGTGAATGTCCACAAATGACCACATGACCTAGTATTGATTGTGAGATTACAAATAAACCTCAGTGAGGAGGGAATTCACAAATATGGAATCCACAAATAGTGAGAATGAATTGTAGATAAAATTCCCAGTGGCCCATTTCTGTGACGTCTGTGACAGCCCAGAGGCAGCAGTGACCCCCAGGGGAATCAGAGCACAGGATGTCTCCTCTGAGCGGGAGGAATTTGGACTTCAGTGAGTAAACGAGAGCTGAGAAACAGAAGAGTGAGATCACACTGGTTTTGATGATGGGAACTTAAAATAGACCAAAATAGACTTGGCGTGTTGCTAGCGCCTATGCAGGAGCAGGGTGTGAAGTGCCCATCTCTGCCAGCATCCTTCGCCCGTTGGTTTCCATGTTAAACAGTAGTGGAATTTCTTACCACCCTGATAACCTGCCTTTCCCTTCACTTTAGGACATGCACCTTTCCCTTATTTCCTATTGATGTGTAAAGTTTATGTGAATTCATAATTTCATCTGATCAACCTCAGAGAGGACATTTTCAAAACCCAGACAACACTGTTTATGCCAAGACCCATAGAGCACCGTATCAGTCTGG